CATTGATATACATGTATGCCTGTGTGTGTGTATGTGTGCATGTTTGTTTGCGTGTACGTTTGTGGGGGGAAGGCATGTGTGCACACGTGTTTATGCGTGTGCACACTTGTGTATGCGTGTACACACATGTGTGTATGTGTGTGTGAGAGATGCCAAGAGGAGTACACAATACTTGCTGTTTACGTGGTCAACACGATTCCACATACTACAAAAGTAAAAAACTAACCCAAAGATAGTTTTTGCGTATCATGATAATGAGTACACTGTAAATACTTGCTTACTTACCGAAAAAGGAAATGACTTCGTTCCGTATCAAGTTTGAAGTAGAAGAAACTAGCACCTCTAACGACGGTAAGGGAGGCATGGGGTAGTCAGGATTGAAATCGTTTGTTTCTGACATATTATACAAACGCACAGGATCTGGTAGTTGAGGTACCCACATGCCACTGTGAGAGGCTCTTGTGTCCTGGTTGTTGTCAATAGACATTCCATCCACGTCGGATTTTTCACAAATTTCACACTCAGCGCAAGGTATGGGAGGCGCGCATTCATCACATTGTGCACATTCCTGACATTCCTGGCATGATTCGCACGCACATGTGCTGCTGGTTATACATGGAACTGGCACCTCGGCTTTTTTAGTTAATGTATTGGAACTCATGTGTGTATCTGTACAAATATGACTGGGGTATGTTGGCGACGTGCCAAGTGAGATAGTGTACGAGCAATACAAGAGTAATGCGAGTGCGCTGGCACCCATGAACGATTTGGCAAGTACAATTGTCATATCGAATCAACGTTTTTTGACATAAATACATAAAATGTATAAACTACATATAATCACGCATTCGTTTAGGCCCTTCTTGTGATCATCTACTACAGTGCACTAAAAATATCAATAAGAATATTTAAATTCGTCTGCTTTATAAAACCTCCAAACAAATGATGAGTACATTACATATAACTAGGTCAGCTCGTCCCTGACCTGTGAGGCTATGAGGCTGTGAGGCTGTGAGGCTGTGACTCTGTGACTGTGACTCTGTGACTGTGAGGCTGTGACTCTGTGACTGTGAGGCTGTGACTCTGTGACTGTGACTCTGTGACTGTGAGGCTGTGACTGTGAGGCTGTGACTGTGAGGCTGTGACTGTGAGGCTGTGACTCTGTGACTGTGAGGCTGTGACTGAGGCTGTGACTGTGAGGCTGTGACT